ATAGCCCACGTCTCCTGGGTTCAAACATTTCAACAGTGGGGTTGAGAAACCTCTTTTATATAACCGGCCATTCATCAGGCAGAAGTGAGCACTCCTTCTGGCGATCTTCTTCGCTTCTTTCACGTCTGGCGGGAGGGTACCTTATGAAAGGTAGTTAACGATTGGAGTGATCTAGGTGTCAGCTGCGATTTCATATGTTTCTCTCGTAATACTCATTACAACGCATGGCGTTTGTAGGTTATGCTGGATGACCGAACGGTTATTACCTGGACTCTTGGTACTGGCCAATTTGGCGAGTATGTCGGCCCGGGTGTTCTCTCCCCGCCTAATGTGCTCCACCTTGACTGTCATGAATGTCTCCATTATATCTTTGACTCTTTCTAAGTATTTGCACATCAGGGGACCTTTTGCTTGATATTCGCCGGAAATTTGACAGGTCACCAGCTGTGAGTCACTAAAAACCTTGAGATGTTGGGCTCCCATTTCTCTGGCTTGAAGTAAACCGGCTATCAAAGCCTCATACTCTGCTTGATTATTAGTCGTACTGAAGTCGAAGGTCAAAGAGTGCTCCATTGCCACACCATCAGGATTTGCCACGATCAACCCAGCTCCTGACCCTTTGGCGTTGGTTGATCCATCCACGAACAACTTCCATGTCGCCGGGATTTCCCCCAACTGATTGCCGCTTGCAGGGGTATGGGTCATCTCAGCAATGAAATCTGTAAGGGCTTGTGCTTTGATGGCTGTTCTTGGTTCATAATTGATTTGGTATTCTGACAGTTCAATCGCCCAAGACATCATTCGGCCCGCCAGATCAGGCTTTTGTAATACTTGGCGGATGGGTTGATTGGTTCTAACCGTGATTGGGTGACATTGGAAGTATGGCCTAAGTCTTCTCGCAGCAAAGATGAGTGTGAGAATAACCTTTTCAACCTGATGATACCTGAGCTCTGCGCCCTGCAGGACTTTGCTGATGAAATACACTGGTTTCTGTGCTTCTTCGTTCTGCTCTCTGACCAAGGCGGCACTGATGGCTTCTACACCAACGGCGAGATATAAATAAAGGATCTCTCCAATGTCTGGCTTTGTTAAGACAGGCAGGCATGACAGCGCTCTTTTGAATTCTTGGAAAGCTTTCTCACAATCATCAGTCCATTGAAAAGAGCGGCCCTTCTTGAGCAGGCTAAACAACGGAAGGGACTTATAGGCAGAATTTGCTAAGAAACGAGTAAGTGCGACTATCCTTCCGGTCAACTGCTGCACTTCTTTAACCGTCTGGGGACTTCTCATGTCAATGATCACCTTGCATTTGTCAGGATTAACTTCAATACCTCTTTCAGTCAGCATAAAGCCTAGGAACTTCCCTACTGGAACTCCAAAGGCGCATTTGCTTGGGTTGAGCCGCATGTTGTATTTTCTCAACCTATTGAACACACCTTGGAGATGTGTCAAGTGCTGTTCTGGAGTTTGTGACTTAGCGATCATATCGTCTATATAGACTTCAATGCTGTCACCAATCAAGTCTTTGAAGACTTCATTCATCATTCGTTGGTAAGTGGCACCCGCGTTTTTCAATCCGAACGGCATCATGGTGTAACAGTAATTAGCAGTCTGTGTGACGAATGTCGTTTTGTCCTGGTCTTCTTTTAGCAATGGGATCTGATTATAGCCTGAGTATTCATCCATGATGAAAGCACCTTGAATCCTGAGGAGTTATCTACGAGCTGGTCAATGCTTGGGAAAGGATAGGCATCCTTTGGGCACATCTTGTTGAGGTCGGTGTAATCAATGCACATTCTCCACGCTCCACTAGGTTTTTTGACTAGTACGGGGTTTGAGAGCCACGTAGTATATTTAATTTCTCGGATGAAACCGACATCCCATAGTCTCTTTACCTCTTCGTCAATGATCCTTTGGCGATCTGGGCCAAACTTCCTCTTCTTCTGCGAAACGGGCTTTGCTTTGGGGTCTACTGACAATCTGTGGCAACATACTTCCGGGTCTATGCCGGGCATGTCAGATGGCTTCCACGCGAACAGGTCCTTGTTGTCTCGTAGGAGTTTGATCAACCTGCTTTTCAACTCCGGGTTGGTGAACGCCCCAATGGTTGTCGTTTGGTCCTTCTCGCCCAGCACTACGTGCTCTAGAGCTTCGTCTGGTGTGGGCCTGGAATGTTCCATCTGAGGGTCGTCCCGTGCATCAAACTCTACAAGAAGACACTGGTCAAGTTCTTTACCCTTTCCAGTAAGGGCACCAGTTGTTACCTGGGTTGTCGCCATATGGGGTGCTGGTTGGGCTTTCAAAGTGACTTTTGGTGCTGATTGGGCTTTCAAAGTGACTTTTGGTGCTGGTCTCATTTAATTTTGTCGCCACCTTGTTGTCTCTTGCCACAAACTTTATTGCCAAGTGCGAGTGCGACACACTTGCTTCGAAAACGGCGAACATTCGCCTGCCGAGAATTACGTTGTAAGCTGATTGGGTATCCAGCACCAGGAATTGAATGTCGGCTGACTTCGAGGTAGGTGGCGTTCCCAGAGATAATCGTAAGTTTATCAATCCCAAAGGTTTGGTGGTTATGTCGTTAAACCCTGCAAGTGCACCTGCCACTGGTGTTAAGTCATTGACAGTAAAACCCAAAGCTTTAAGACAAGGCAAGAACAAAATGTAAGCAGAACTGCCATGATCCATGAATATGCGGTTGACGCTCCAGTTGGCAATGATTGCTTGGATGACCAAGGGGTCGTCATGGCCAGGTAGGATATCGCCCAAATCGTTGAAGTCCCAGACGATTTTGGGTTTGGCCTGACCTGCATCTGTGCTCGTTTTGCTGATGGTCTTTCCTGCCACTGCTAGGCACTACTTCAAGTGTCTCTTTCAGGAATTAACTGTTACTCCACCGCCACCCAGCCCTCTAGAGATCATATTTATCATTCCATGTTTTATGGCTGCTGAATCTTCGTCTCCTCCGTCACGCCTTTCTCTACTGCTCTGGTTGTCATGCGCCTTACGGATTGGGGGAGACCTTTCCCTGCGATCCCACCCGCGATGAGTTTGATACCTGGGTTGGGTGCTCCTTCTTCGATCTGGTGACCAACTACGCTCTCGATACCGCCTGTTGTTTCCTGGGATTCGGGAGTTGCTTCCCTTGTTTCTTTGACCTCTACTGTTAATGATCTCATCGATTTCATCCTTCAGATGTCTGCACTCCTCAGTACTATGGCCGTTACTGCGGTGGAATTTGCAGTATACAATATTTTCCTGCGATTGCCCCTGACGCCTTGGGTTGTCTTTGCGTTCCTCCTTGTACTCGGTCTGAAGGACGTTATGTGTATGACGTCCAACCATATCTCGCCCTTGTTGGCGACTGACATACTTGGCGGGTTTGCGACTCTTTCTACGTTCCTCAGCATGGTCACTATTTTTCAACTCTCTGTTTCCTTGGCAGTGATTGTCGCTTGCTCGACTTCCTTTGTACTCTTCGATTCGCATAAACTCTTGAGCTTTACGCTTGACTTCTTCAAGATCCAAAACCTCATGACGAGCAAGCTCGTAGGCGAACGCTCCTTCACGCAATCCAGATAAAAGTATGTGCAACTGCACCTTTGGGTCTAGCCCTTGTACCTGCAGGGCTTCTTTGTTAAAACGGTCCAGAAATGACCTAAGAGTTTCCCCGGATTGCTGGCATACTTTCTCCAAGGCATGGACAGACTTCGGCACAGGGCGACTAGTGGCAAAATGGGTCTGGAATTTTCTTGCCAGGTCATCCCAGGATGCTACACTGCACGTTGGTAAGGTGGTAGACCAAGTTATCGCTATTCCGCCCAAGAGCGTTGGGAAGGTTCTGCACATCAGGAGGTTTGTTTCACCATGAAGGGTCATTGCCGCTTCAAACTTTTGTATCCATTCGAACGGATCAGCGTCACCTACGTACGTGACGATGTTGGATGGTCCCTTATAGCCAAGGGGAATAGGAGTGAGGCGTATGCTATCAGTCAGGGGTTTGTTACGCCTTGAGGTGTTCGGAGGGGTTGTTTGTAAGTATGGGGTTCCTGAGGCGCCTCGACTGAGTACGAGATAGCTGGGGCTTGGCGGGCTTCAAAACGGGGTTGGCCAAGGTTCACGACCGATCCCTGTGGTTGAGGGATGGCCGCGTTATGATGGTGGAAAAGATATCCTTGAAACGGGTAACCATTTGGAAAAGGTGGGGGGAAAGGAGCGGCCACATTATTCATACAAGGTCTGGGATGGTGTGTTGGGACTCGATGGTCATTATATAGTGCTACGGGTTGGCTTTGCGCCGGTTGGACACGAAGGGTGGTAGGGAAAGGCATTCCAAATTGGACACCAGGGGGTAGGGGTTGGTTTTCAAACCAGTTTTCTCCTTGCATTTCTTGTATTGGAACTTGATGATTCAGGAATGTTGCTCTGAGACCTTCCGCTGGTGCCTGGGGGTCTGCAGGTTGTAGCACCGGAGGCAGAGCATCTGCAGCTTCTCGCTCAGCTAGGATTGAGTGCATAGAAGGAGGGGAGTTGGAGCGCACAATTCGCACGTGCCCTTCTGGAGTGGCTGCCCGCACTTGTTCTGCTCGTCTTGTTGTGACTACCATGTTGGTCTGCAAATGGTAAGTGTTTTGCGTATTTAGTGGTGGGAGAATGGGAATAGAAGTTTATAGTTTCTCACAGACGGCGCCAATGTACCGTTCGATACAACGAGCCCACTATGTACCTTTGAGGGTAATGTCACTATATGGATTATACCTCTAGCTGATGTAAAGACCAGGCTAGAAGGTAATATTCCAAGGGGTAGTAAGCTGATATTAATGACAGACAGATAGTAAAAGTATAACTGAGAAGTAAATGGGCATAATAACAGTACATAAAAGGTAGATCCCTTCCCTTGTGCCCAAGGGTGGTATTTATAGGAGTCCAGGAGTCTGATCCGTTAGGGCTTACGTATTGGAGGTCAACGCTCCTTGGGATTCGTTATGAGGAGCTGACACGCCTGGCGCTGCAGCGATGCAGGGCTGCTCTTGGGCGATGTCAGCATGCGGCAGCAGGGCGGTTTCCACTTATGGTCTCTGGGCGATCCGCAGAGCATATGAGGTTCCAAGGTAAGACATTTTGGTGTCTTACCTTGGGAGGCGAGCTGCCTTGGGGCATGCGTCTAGGGTCAACCGGTAGGGCTGACGTGTATATAACTTGGGGTACTGGGCTTAGACTGTTTGGGGCTCTGTGAAACTGGGCCATCTACGTTACAAGGCCCTTGGGCTTCGGATGTGGTTAAGCCATCCGGAACACTATCTAAATTAAATTCTTTACTCTCTTTTGACATAAGAGATAAGAAACGCGATACTCTCCACAAATGGCATCACTTATTCACTTTCTCCATATCTGACAGTGTTCTTGGCGAGCCCATTTAGTAATTGGGCCTTTTTAGCCCTAATCCACAGCCCAATAATTATGCGGGTCGGGTTACGGATTAGCATTCATCAACCCATGTTACTCTTCAATGGCAATGCTCTTATTTTCTCTCTCTAGAAACCAAAAACTCTCAGTCGAACCTCTCTCTCTCTCATCCTTTGAGCTGAGACTTCAGGTGAAAAATCCCTAACTACAATTTTATTTTATTTCTGAGTTTTATTTGTTATCTGAATTGCTTTTTTTGCTGATTTGGATTCAGTGTTGAAAACTTATATCTTCGATTTCCATACCCAAAAATCACTACTAATTTGGCTGCAATATGAAATTGGCAGTATAGTTGTCGGGAATTAGGGTTTTTTGATGTATAATAGTGTTGCATATTACTGTTTTGTAAGAAATCTGTAACTGTACGCTTTTTCAGATGGGGATAATTTCTGGTTTTAATTCTTGAAAATCAGAAAATTTTCATCTTATCTGTGATCTTTAAGAAATTGAATAAATGATGAAAAAGTGGAAGTTCATTGATTATTTGATAAAGTGATACTTCAATTGTATATTGTTTTGTAGATCAAAATTAAATTCAAATACTTCAGGCCTAATCCCCTATCTGATTGCCTGCAGAGCATTTAAACCCCATGCTGGAGCAGATAATGATATTAGAGGAACCTCTTTGCAACATTCAGTTTGAATAGCATTGGTTAGAGGGTTAGACAGACCACCTAGTAATAGGTACTATTTGATGTTTACTTTTCTGTTTGTGTAATTTTTATTTTTTATTTTTTTGTCATTTACACTGCATGAATCACCCACATTTGGTCCAAGTACATCTTTTCTTATCCATTTACTGTGAAAAGTAATGGGGTCAAGCTGTTTTAAATCAATAAAATGCACTTGCCCGGGCTCTATTAGTGTATAGTGAGTCACCTTTCCACAATGCCCTTGAATTTTAATATGATTCTGTGTTATTTAGAATGTATAAATCACCCACATTTGGTCTAAGTGTATCTTTGCTTTTCATTTTAGTGGGAAAAGTAAAGGGGACAAGCTGTTTTTAAAAACTATACTATGCACTTGCTGGGCTCTATTAGTGTATTCTGAGTCACCTTTCCAAAAGGCCTTTGAATTCTAATATGGCTTTGTGTTGGTCTGTCCTTTATACATCTTTTGATAAATGCCTTTGATTTTTGACCTGGGAAATTTTTTCCAGCATAAGATAGTTTAAAAATAAAGCTAAATGATTTATGGGCCTGATGTGATGACTGGCATTGTTGACTAGCTGAATCTTTTTCTTCTACACCTCTCGAGAGTTGACAGTATAACTCCTTAGTTCTGGGAAATAGATACTATGCAAGTCCTAATGGATGCTAAATTCAATAGAACAGAAAGCTGATTGCTTTTAATCTAGCTAGGGGAAATTAATTCAGTCAATTTTACACTCTCGATTAAATTGCTTCCTCCGAACTCGTATCTGCTTGTGAAATTGTACCTGTTTTCAGAGGTGCAAGAAAACGAGCATTCTTGCAAAACAGCAAAGGAGTTGTGCTCGTGCACCTTTATACATCTCTGTTTACATAGGCAAAATGCTGGAAATTTGACTGCTGCAAAATGTGAAGAAAAGTAGAAGTGTTTTGTCTGAATAATACTTTCTTGATTCATTGAGAGACCCAATGGGTCCTTTTTATATTGAGTACATCTAACTACCTCAACTACTTTAATAAATATACAACCACCAACTACATCAATAAATATACAACTACCAACTAAATATACAACTACCAACTACATCAATAAATACTATCTAGAATATTCTACATATTCTACAAAATGATAGGATGGTTAATGTAGTTTCATGAGTAAGAAGAGGAATTGAGGTCAAATTTGGTGGTCAATTTATGTAGTTTTTGAAATTATTGAAGAAAGTGATGCATGCACTTTTTCATAAAATGCATACTGTCTTTCATTTTAATATAAGACTCAACCGGCATAACCGCCTCCTTCCCATGTATTTGATGTTTCCTTTCAATTTTCTATTTATTCTTGGATCCCAAGCTATGCTCTACAACAAAAATCAATCATCCTATTCAGAAAGACCCTTTAAATATAGAGGAGTCTGTCTTGTAAATGACATGGGAATGGATCTGGAACATGTATTGTCAACAACTTACCAGAAAGACCAATTTTACCTACCAACTTATGGAGCAATATCCTTACCAAATCTTCACCCAGCACACCAGTAGCCATCTTCTGCCTTCAATTTTATATCAAATAAGTTGCATAATCTCATACTCTTTGATGCCTTGAGATGTCCCCAAGCGCTGCAATGGTTGCAGAATATCTTCTGCCATATACATGAGGACAAGATCCTAACTCAAAATAGCTAATCACCCATGTGTGTAACAGAACCTTTTGCTAGATCAGGAAAAAGAAGAGATTACAGAGAGAGATAATACGAGAAAAGATTATTTCAGAGGATAGGAAGAGAGAATAGGAGAGAGGGAAATTCTTTGATAATTCTTGCTTGCTTTCATTACCCAATTAATACCTATATATACCCTCTAAGGGTTGTTACATAACATCCTAACAACTTATGTGTAGAATATTCTAGAATTACTAATACTTGGGCATGTGAGATGCAATTGTTACATTCCATTGCCCTTCAAACCAACCTCATCCTCGAGGTTGAGTCATAACAATAGCAGGATCAAAGATAAAAATACAGAATATTAGTGGTGGAGAAAGTAGAGAAATGATTCCAAAACCCCTAGCTTCAACCTCAGCCAGAGAACGTAATGTGAATCCACCTATAAATCTAGCATCCTCTGTCACCTTGTGCATTTCCTTCACATGCAGCAAGACCTGCAATACTGTGAAATATGCAAACTTCTGCAATGAATTGCAATCTTTCATTAAAAGCCAATAGATTAGTAAAATCTCCAGCGTGTTGTATCTGTCTGGTCTCCACTGCTATCTCATTTAACTCTTTTTTTATTGCATTATGCCAGAGCAATATTTCATCAATAGGATGTGTTCCAGTGACATCAGAAACATCTACAATGGATCCAGAATATTTCCTTTTTCCAGTTGTTGTGGACTCACATACACAGTTCAATTCCCTAACTTGATGGGTTAATAACTTGAGAATAATCTGCACAACTTTCAACTGTCTTAACACTACTTCTCCCTTCCATCAAGGTGAAGATAGCCTTCTGAAGAAGCTTTTCCTCCAGCACTATCTTGATTAAGCAATTTCGAAGATCCTGAGATTCATCAGGTGATATAGATGCTGAAAGCCATGGAAGAAATTCTGCCATCATATTCACAGGAATACTGCAAAGAAACTGCCAAACTAAGGATGCTTGTTCCTCGAGAGAGAACTTCTCAATAAGCAGAGGAAATACCTCCTCCTCTTCCTTTGCCATGTGTTGACTAACTGATGTTTGCAAAGCTCCCGTGCAGGATGCTAACTCTCTTGGAAAACTTTCATCATTATGGATGGAAGAATTTAACAGCTCAAATAGATGATCAAAAAGATTGCTTTCACCCTTGTGCTCAATGACTAAATGGTCATGAGTTCGATCCTCACCGCCCTATTTTATTAATAAATAATTGAATATTATGTAGTTTCTTAGCACATGCAAATGGGCCTGTTCATTGTCCATCTTCCAGTAGGCTCTTGATAGTTTTATATTATATTTTTCTAACATGATTATTTTGTCCTTTCAGTGTTTTGGAAATTGATTTCTCTGCTTGATTTGCCATCCACTATTAGATAATTGAAGAATGACTGTTACGAAGCGGTATGTGTTGAGATTGTTCATATCATTGAAGTACATTACGGCAAATGTGGTAGATAGAAACAATGGAAGGATTGTAGCAACATCATCCACTGTAGAACATGACATGAAAAAGTCTCTTGAGTGTGGCCGGTCCTGTAATGCAAAAGCAGCTTCTGTTGTTGGGGAGGTATTGGCCATGCGGCTCAAAGTTGATGGGCTTAATGAAGGACAGGGTAAAGGTATTCATGTAAATGTAAGTAAGGAAGTTGAGAAGAAAGGATTTAAGAACCAAACCAAGGTTTGGGCTATTGTGAGTGCTCTTAAGAATAATGGAGTGAAACTCGTCCTTGATGATGAACATGATGCCAATAATCCTTGGCCTAATTCCTAAATCTATGAAGTAAGTCTTGTGCTAAGAACATCTTTTCAGTAAATAAACAAAAAGTTACATGGAAGAATGGTTTAGTCTCATTTCTTATAGAAGCATTTCTGTCAGATGCAATCATAAAATCATTAATTAAAGTATTTTTTATTCATATGGTGCAGTTAATTTAGGTTTTTAAAAAGATATTGTAATATAGATGCTTTTTAAAATGTTTGTTCAGAAACTGTTATTTTTAAGTTTAAAATGTTAGATGAAAATAGGTCCCTATATTTAAAGGATTTCAGTTCAAAAATAAATAAATAAATAAACTGAATTGTATTTTATAAAATTCAAAGCAGGAGTAAGAAATATAAGGTGAACAACCTTTTAAAAAGCTCCTTATGATCTATCTCAATTTTCCAGTCATCACTGACAATATGATCTATCTGAATGCTTTACCTTTTAAAAAACTTTATATATTCTATAATTAAGAAATCTGTACTATCAAAAAATGCAGATTGTAATCTCAATTTCCATCTCATTCAAGGATAAAGTTCTTCCCACTATCCTATATACCTTTAAATATATAGGCAAAGAGCTTCACGTGTTCAGTATGCCAACAACTTTATTTAATAAAGAATACTATTATAAAATAATAATAATAATTAATGATCCATTATACATCCTGATCCTGTACCTCAAAAGCAATATATTTATATATCAAACAATGTATAGAAAGATTTAGTCATGGAGATTGAGAATGAAGATTAAAAACTACTAAGAAAAAAAGTCCATGAAAATAGTATAAATCTGCTAATAAGAACACTGGTCCTTTTTTTGTCCCCTCAAACTGAACATAACTGTAGTGTTGGGGTGCTGAAAATTACATACCAAGTATATAAGCTTCTAAGGGTAATTATTGAAAAACATGCCAATTCTGACAACCAACCAACCAAATAATGTAACTTTCATATTATATATGTGGCACAACTGTGAACCGCAACTTTATGTCCATTCAAGAATGAATAAAATATAAAACAAAGAGGACTCTAATTTTTACATATTGTTTTTTTTTTTTTTTTTCTCCAATAAAGTCTCACTTGTACAGAAGTACCTTCAAATAATTTGTCTTTTTATTTTTTGTTGGTAAACCAAATAAATTATCTTACACCTCAATTTTTCTCTTCCAACTCAAAAACTTTAGACTAACAGCAACCAATCTCTTTAAGCAAGCCATCACCAAATTTAGGCCAAAACTGGAGAAAAAAGAAAGCTTATCATGTTTCTTGGTGGTTGGAAGAAGAAGTAGTGCAAAGGAAAATTCTTGAAGAGACCAAAAAAAAAAAAAAAATGGTTTGGGAATCAAGAAAGTGGGTGATACTCCTAGCATCAATATGGATACAAGCATTCACTGGGACAAACTTTGACTTCTCATCATACTCATCTGATCTCAAATCTGTTCTTGATATAACACAGCTTCAGCTGAATTATCTATCAGTGGCATCAGACATGGGAAAAGCATTTGGATGGTGTTCTGGGATTTCACTCATGTATTTCCCTTTGTGGGTGGTTATGTTCATGGCTGCTTTCATGGGACTTGTTGGTTATGGCCTTCAATGGCTTGTCATTATGAGACTCATCACCTTGCCTTATTTTGTGGTTAGTTTTCATCATTCCTTATTCCTCTTAATTTCTCATTATGTTTATTTCTCTTGTCACTGCTTCTTTGGATTTTTCATGCATTTTCTTTTGTTACTTTGTTTTTCTTAGCTTTTGGTGAAGTGGGATTTGCTAGAAAATCAATGAACTTTAATTAGGCGTTTGCTATAAGGTATTTTATAGGATTTTCGGGAAGCTAAATTTTTCTAAATTTTTAATTTTCAAATATTATCGTAAATTGAATATTTTCATTATATTTTTGAAAATCAAAATTTCCGAATAAAAAAAAAAATTATCCTCTGCTGAAAGAATTTGGGAATGCAATTAAACAATGTCTTTTAGGAAAGAACTTTGTTTGAAACAGAATTATATATAGGGAAATCAAATTTCTCATATATTAAGAAAAGAATTACCTCATATAATAAAAACAAAATTATAACTAGAACCCAAAAATAAGAGGAGAAAAAAAAAATAGATATGAGATCCACCTCTATTTTGTGTGTGCCAAAACTTTATTTCTCTTATAAAAAATGACAGAAATATAACTAGGAAAATGTGGTTTTGGTTTACTCATTTCCTCTCATGCTACTTGCTAAAATTTCCAACAACAACAAAAAAAAACCTAAGGAAAGAAAAATTCTACATACAAGTTTATGGTATCTAAATGGCAAAAGAATCAACCATACTGAAGAAAAAAAAAAACACTTTTAAGAATATCCACTTTCCTCGTTTTCTGGAAAAAAAATAAAATAAAAGGTAGTTGTGAAAGGAAATGAGTGAAGATCTTAGAGCCACACGACAACATTTCTAACCGCATATGTCAAAATCAGTGCCTTAGACATTAGTTTAATGTTTTGAATTAAGGTGTCTATGATTTGAAATAGGATCAAAATAATCGATCAACTACATAATTTGAATGGTAGTTAAAAGATTTAAAAAATAAATTGTATGTCTCAAAATCATAAATATTATAAAGTTTGTCCCTTGTGCGTGTCTGTGTCTAACTCGACATCTAGGAGATTCAAATCTTTGAATTTTGATTAATTTGCCATTGGCTAAGAAAAGCATAGGATGGGTAAGTAGCAAGTGAACACACAGTCATAGATGGGTACATCTCTTCCATCTTTAGTGTTCAAATTATAAAAATTTTGATTGAGAAGAAATATTTGAATAATTTATATAATAAGTAGAAGGGAAAAGTGTGTATAATTTTTGAAAGATGTAAAGTTGTGTCATTTTAAGAGAGAGAAAAAGATAGATAAAGGAAGAGAGAGAGTTGACAAAAAAAAATAAAGTTGTGGGTCCCACCTCTTTGTGAGAGTGAAAGGATGTAAGTTGTGTAATTTAAAAGTATAGACATTTTTCCCTAAGTAGAAAATAGAAGAAATTGTTCCTATTTATATCTTAGTGTTGTACAACGATAATTAAAAAAATAGGAAATGAAAAAACAACAATTATAGAAAATAAAAATAGATAATTAATTAGGTAGTTACGTTAAATATATGATAAATATTTATCTGCATTAATTACGCAAATTTTTTTTACTGAATTTTATAATATATTCCATATACCTTTACACATTTCAAAATTATGTTACTAATATATATATATCATATATGTAAATAACAGAGAAAGAGAGACACTTAAAAAGTTACAATTTCTTTTTTGGTGGATAAAAAAAAGTTACAATACATAATATAATTTAAGGGTGTGTTTGATGTATATTGAGAGACAACTTTTTTAAATGTTATTAGTTGTTCGATAATTGAAATAAAATAATGTTCTTGGCACAACTAGTCTAACATTTCGCCCATATTAGCAGTGATTTGGGTTAGATTCTCAGCTTTCGCTTTTGCTAGGAAATATATAACTTCAATTTAAATTCTCAATAAGATTGGTAGCCGACTAGTCGTCCCTAATCTTGCATGGAGTATACCTCCCCTAATATAGAAAAGTAAATTTATAGGTTATTATGTTATTTAAGAATAATTATTTTCTTTATATAAATTTTAGGAAACTATTACTTTGTTTGATAACGATTTTATTAGGATGTATATAGAATTTTCACATTGGATTAGGATTTTATATTAATTAGAATTTATCTGGAATTCTTATACTGACTCGTCACAAAATTTGTTTATAGCACAAAAAGGGGGAGAAAACCCATAAACCACACCCTTATCTTCTAGCCCTATTGCCAGTACAATAATGTACAACATAAAGGATATCACAATAATTTTTATATTATTATATCAATATTACAAAACGGATATCATAAAATCATTGGTTCATCTATTATTTGATTAATCCAATTCGAGTCAAATAGGATTACATGAGAGGCAAAGTTTTCTATATCAAGTTTTAACATAATTGTATTTCCAAGAATTCGAACTCGCGACCGCTAGTTAAATTGAGACAATCCCTTAAAAGTTGATTCACGTGCTTGATGATATAATTTTTTTTTTCAATTTACTTTGTTGCAAGCTGTGTTAAATGGCTACATCTACTGCACCTATGCATCTTCTCATCTGCAAAAATTTTAACCATAATTTGTAATCTTAGTTTAATATCAAAATATCTTAAGAGTAATATAAGATTCAAAATTTTCAGGGAATCAACTGCTAATTGCTAAATTTAATACAAATTGACTAGTTTAGCAGCTAACTTAGGATATGCTTGTTCTTATCCCTTTGAGTCATTTTGACATGAAATCTAGAAAAAATAAATGCTATCTTTGGAACATTTTTCTAAAGTGAAATATTACTCTTATTTTACATGAGATAGTTATTTCATTTTTTTTCATTTTGAAAATCGCACTTTCTCTTTTTTCTTTTTCTTTTTTGCTTTTTAATAGTGAATTTCACCTGAATTTTCTCTGTAACATGAGAGAACTACTCTCGTATAACATGATACTAATATTTCCCTTTTCTAAAACGAGACTTTAATTGCATAGGTGGCTCCATTCCTCATTAATTGCTAGCAGTACTTGTTGTCGAATATATTTATTAGAAAAGAGCAATGTCTTTATCAAGTAAACTTCTTCTTTCTCCTATTTTCTTGTTTCCATTAATTAAACATGAGATTTATTTTTCTTATTTTGCATAAGATAAGAATAATCTTTCTACACTCACAAAAGAAAGAGAGAGGATAAAAAAAAGAAAAAAAAATTAAAGTGAGTCTCAAGATTTGTTTGTGTAGGAGGATTGTTTTATCTTATAACATAAGAAAAACAATCCCCATTGAACATATAACTTCATCATTAATGCATTTGTTGAACTAACCCAGTAATTTATAGGATTTAGATTTATTTTTTCTTATTAAATACCCAAATGCTAGAATAAAGCCAAAATACAAGCCCAAAAATAATAAAGAAAAATTCAAAAATATAAATGATGTCTCTAGATAGTATATTTTAATATTTTTGTTGATATAGATAATGGAGTCCATTAAACAAAACCAATAAATAATTAAATAAAACTTATAAATTAAGGTGGCTTTTAGTTAGAGATATTTTGATCTGATTAATTGTTTAAATTTAGTTTTGACTTAATGATGATCCAACTATGATAAGCTAGTAATTCCAAATAAATTATATTAACATAAAACTAAACATGAATAAGGTACTAATTTAAGTAAAAAAATATAATAATAATCTATCCTTAATTTTTAAAAACAATTTAAAGCCTTAAAATATTATAATATCTTGCTAGGCATGACCAACCCGAAAAGTATCACAAAGTTAATCCAATTAACTTTGGATCAGGCTATGTTATATAGTCGAGTTGGGTCTTAAATTATCCTTATTTTCCAATAATCATTATGCATAAATAAAGAAGTGATAGATTATATTTATAAATTTTTTGATTACAAATTATATTATATATTTTGCGACAGAATACACACTTAAGTGTTTGTATTCCCTAAAATATATGTTATAATTTGTAAAAATTTGTAAATATAACTCTGCTCAACAGTTAAACCAAAATAAAGATTGTGCTTAAATTAAGTTTATTTATCAAAATTTCCCTCTTTTTTCAACTAACTAAAATGTTGGTGTGGTTGGGGGAGTTGTTCTGATAGCAGCAAATTGTTTAGAATTATTAGCTTACCAGCTTTGGACAGTTTCCTAAGTTAGTTTGGTTTCTTAGGACAAATTATGCATTGGGGGTTATCTGCACTTCAAAGCATTCTTTTTGAAAATTCTTTACCATTCTGGTAGTTCACCTACCCTTCCCCATCATGTACAAGTGTGAAGATTAGAGTGGAGGTTAAGTTAAAAGGGAAAAGGAACTTAGGAGGGGGGTGGGAATACATGAAATTTTGGATTTTTTTTTTTAATTTTTGATAGTATAAATTATTTTTTAAATGTCTTTTTTCTTTTTTTCTTTTTAAATCTCAAATGGATTATAAAGAATAATTTTATCTCCGATAACAAGCCAAATATTAAAACCTAAATTAAAATCATAATAAATATAATCCAATGAAAAAAAAAATGTCAAATAAATTTTATTACCCAATTTATTATTTTTGGTGCACAATTTCTTAGTTTATAAAATTAGGCACATTACATCCTGAAGCTGGTCCCCATCCTGAATTGGTCACCTCTACAGTAAATCTGGTCCCCAAAACAGCATCTTTTGAATCTTCTTTAACAAAATAAGTTCCCATCACCATAAGTATAAACTTTATGGAAAGATAAAACCAAAGAAGACCATAAAAATAGCATGCTTACTCCTTTATATTTGCAAAATAAGATATACTATGATCCTCCTTAAGTACAATAATTAATCTTTTATAAGATACAGAAGAATCAAAGGCGGGCATGAATTAACAAAGAAAAAGTAGCAACATTTATTAATGTATAAATAGGGAGATATACTGATTGCTTAATACTATTTATTAATTATTATGTAAAATAAAATTGCAACAGATAATATAAAATTAGGGTCTAATTAAGTCTATAAATTGGGACGAAAAGTGCAACAATAGAAATAAATTAAGGGTGAAATGCATTACCCAAAAAAGAAATTAAAAAAAAAATTACACAAACACACATTCAACTTTATCCTTATGTAGCATAGAGGAAGAGAGGTAAAACAAAGACTCTTTAAAAGAGTAACAAGAGAAAGATTTCATTGCCATTCGAATCATAAGTTGTTATAATACATTCATTCTTAGTTTCTCAAACCTGTTCAGCTTTGATTCTACAAAGGGAGTGCTATTTTCACCACCAAAGTTATTAGTTTCACTACATAGTTAGGACTATAAACTTTTTGTGATTAAACTTATAGGGACTTTGTAATATTTTTTTATCATGTAAATAGCACAAACTTATTTTCAAATATTTGTGGAAACATTCCAAATTGATGGCTATTAACAAAACAATATTGGTGCACATATTGAACAGGTCTTTTTTCTATGCTTGATTGCTGGTTGTAGCATCTGTTGGTTCAACACCATCTGCTATGTCTTATGTGTGAAACATTTTGCAGCAAACCGTTCACTTGCATTATCATTAAGTATTAGTTTCAATGGTGTAAGTGCAGCTTTGTACACTCTCCTTGCCAATGCAATAAACTCAAGTGATGACACTCTTTATCTCTTACTCAATGCCATTGTTCCTGTACTCATTTCTTTACTAGTACTCTTCCCAATTCTCCACCAACCACAGCCTCAACCACATTCTGCTGATACCCTTCAAAGGGATTCCTTGGTTTTTCTCTGCCTCAACATCCTTGCCATTGTTACAGGCCTCTACCTCCTCTTCCTATATTCCTTCTCTTCTAACAGCGCCACCATGGCTCGTGTTATCCTTGCAGGTGCCATTTTCCTCCTTGTACTACTCTTGTTCTTGCCTGGCATTGTGTATTCTAGAGAATGGTCTTGCTTAACTTTCCCAACAAGCTTTTCCCTATACAATTCAAGGTTCAATGTTATTGACCCTGATGACCATGATCATGATCTTCACAAAGAACTCATTGGTGATGAGGACAATGCAAGGAATGGCAATGCTCAAAGTATAAGAGAAAAGAAGTGTTGTTTTGTGAATGTGTTGGAGAGAGAGCAGATTACAACGCTAGGGGAAGAGCATTCAATAAGGTTGCTAATGCGTAGATGGGACTTTTGGTTATACTACATTGCATATTTCTGTGGAGGAACAATTGGTTTGGTTTACAGCAACAACTTGGGACAAATTTCACAATCACTTGGACACAGTTCTCAGACTAGCTCTATTGTCACACTTTACTCCACATTTTCCTTCTTTGGTCGCCTTCTAGCAGCTGCACCTGACTTCTTGAGCGGGTATGTGTTAAAGATCTTTGTAGGTATAGTGATATATTTACACATACTTGTGCTACACAGCTAGCTAGAAAAAAACTTAGCCAGAATTTTGAGAGAATTTAATAAGATTTAAGGGTCATTTTCATTGTTGGATAAGATAATGTGGTAGGGACTACTCATCCATCCAAGAGTTAATAAGTATGTAACTCATTCTGTCAAAAATTCTAGCAAAAGAAATCCTGTATATTTAGTATTTTTTCCACTTATACAATAATTAATCTAGATGGTGAGTCTTGGAGCAACGATAAGGTTGCTCCTTCTAACCGGAAAAGGTTATGGGTTCGAGTCTGTGAAACAGTTTCTTTGCAAAATCGTACAATCGACCCTCACTTGTACCCTCGCAAGTCGGGGAATCTTGTGCACCAGGATTTGCCCTTATACAATAATTAATCCACTCATCCATTCAAGAGTCAATAAGCATGTCACTCATTCTTATAAAAAAATCTAGCAAAAAATTTCCAGATATTTAGTACAATAATTAATCCAATCACACATTCAAGATTCAATAAGGATGTCACTTGTTCTGACAAAAATTACATTACATGATAAGTAATCTACTAATGTTGTATGACAATGCAGGAAGATACACTTTGCAAGAACTGGATGGTTTGCAGCAGCCCTGGTTCCAACACCAATTGCATTCATTTTGTTGGCCATATCTGGCAGTGAAACAGCATTGCACATAGGAACCAGCTTGATTGGGCTAAGTTCTGGCTTTGTGTTTTCTGCAGCAGTATCTATTACATTAGAGCTATTTGGCCCAAACAGTGTTGGTGTGAACCACAATATCCTCATCACCAACATTCCTTTAGGCTCATGTCTTTATGGCCTTCTTGCAGCTTTGATTTATGACTCCAATGCAACAATGAACCCAACAAAGCACACAACAACAACATGGCTGCGTGAAATGTCCATGTGCATGGGGAGGCAGTGCTACTTTCAGACATTTATATGGTGGGGTTGCATTTCAGTCATAGGATTGGTTTCAAGCTTCTTGCTTTTCATGAGGACTAGAAAGGCTTACGACAATTTTGAAAAAATTGAAAATAGGAATAGAATGTAAAAGGGAATGGATCCTCTCAATGTGACATGAACTCGTGTGAGAGGATATCAAATGTCCAAATACAAATTAATAATTATTACTTTTTACTCTTTATTTTAATACATTCTCTGGTCATGGTTAATTTGTAGTAAATGTAAAATCTTCTCAGATGATCTTATGTTATATGAGAGATCCATTCTCTAACGTATACAAAGAATATTGTACCATGCTCAATGTAATAGGATCAATCACAAATACCAAAAATAGGATATGATATTTATCTCTACTCTTAGTGTCACAAATTCTTTGAGCATATATAGAACATTTGATTTTTTTTAATTTTTTTTTCCAAACCCTCAATCAACCATTCTCGAGCACTCAGAGAATTAGCAAGAGACAGCCTTAATGCCTCTGATATAAGAAAAATTGTCGCAAATTTAGTGACTTCGAATGGATGTTGGGACATGGATGACCTCAATTAAAAGCTCCCCATTAAGGTAAAATAGACCATCCTTTGTTTCCTTCAACATATGATCGTTGACTACCTTTTGGAAGCTAGTGCACCAGAAGCTCTTGACTAATGATCGTTGTGCGTTCTGGATTAATCACAATCCATATGTCTAACTTGCAAGTCAGATGTGGAAAGCGTTGTGCATGCTATGCGAGATTATTCGATAGCTCGAGTACTCTAGATTTATTTATGTTGCATACGAACACGAGACATGTGGGACACACAGACACTCAAACACGTTAATTCTAAAAAATATTCGATTCAGACACGTTAGGAAGGACACTTTTTGATATTAAACAATATTTTAATTTATGTAGTGTATATATATTTAATATTCAATAATTTAACAAAAAAATGAAGCTAAACTTATAATACCCATCAGTACTGCAAAAAAACATAAAATATCACAAATATTTATATTAAACTCAATAAAATAGTAATCGTAATCTAACAAATTTAATAGTTGGAATTAAAAACGCACTAAAACGCAACATTTGAACCCTTTTTTGAGTCTTTCCAACACGTGTTGGAGTGTCGGAGAGTGTCGAAGTGTCGGACACAATAAGTCAGATTTTTTGAAGTGTCGGTGCATCATAGCTCTGGACAACTTTAGTGCCTCATGAGGTAATTAGTAGCTTATTCCCGCCTAATTTCGAGTATTGGTTGGTGTCCAAAATCCCCAGTATCTCCCAACCCAATCGAATATCCCTAGGTCCACATGATTTCTTGTTGGAAGCTATGGCACTGGAAAAACATGGCTATGCATAGCAATTCAGATAACATAGTGATTCAGACTTATTATACCTAAGGTAGAGGCCCAAAAGGCCCAACTCACTCTTGCGACATAACCAAGGGCAATCCATCTCACGCGACATAGCCACAAAGGCAATCCATTTCGCCATAAGAGGTGTGGATCTCGCTCATGTCTTGGCCACCAAGCTAACATAACTTAAACTAGAAGGAATCATCATTGCCGAAATCAGCAGCTCAGGTAAGTTGGCCACAAACAGGGACTAGTAAAAGGATGGCAGGAGCTTGCCGCCATACTTGTAGAATCTGCTATGAATATAAGCTTGCCCACCAAGGAATAGCCTGAGAGAGGCCATCTCTCTCCACCAATCATCATGAACACTGCCTCTTGAAGGATGGTGATAAACATGACGCTCAAACACTATAAATATAGAGGCTATTGGCCTAGTTGTGGATATCTTTCTCTGAATATTTGAACCTCCTTGGATATTAAACTAATTTGAGCGTCAGAGTGCCTTTGCAGGTACCCCCCAGTCGGTCTCATACAAATCAGAGAAGCACAAACACAGCCCAACCATTTCGCATCATACAACATCATCTCGCCAAGCTTCCAAGCATCTCAACAACATCTCATCAATTTTTCCTTCTCTTCATCAACATCCTCTACCTTCAACAGTGCGTGATTAGGCCCAACCCAATTGGTGTTGGACTGATCACATAGATAATCAGAGAGTGAACATAATGAATTCTCTATCCCAGGAAATTCATGTTGCATCCTCATCCACAAGCCAACATGTTACAAAGCAATTAACTATGGAAGCAACCATTGCTTGAAACCATCCGGAGGAAGGCTGACTAAAGGTTAATACTTATGGATAGCTCATGGCAACCCTCGTCTAACGGCTTATGGGGGTGTGCTTCAAGATAAGGTAAGACTTTGGAAATGAGGGTTTGTGTATAGAGTTGGCAAGTGCACAACCTTCACAACGAAGCTTTGGGGTGTTTTGCATGACTTGGAACTTATAATGTCGTCAAGTTGTATTGGAAATTGATTCCTCTAGTGTGATCACTCTGCTCACCAAAGTTGGTGATGCATCTCACAAGAGTCACCATTTATCTCGAATACAAGCAATGTTGGTTAGAAATTGGAGAGTTTGGTTGCAGCACATGTATAGAGAAGGAAACGTTTGTGTGGATTGGATGATTAATCTTTTGTTTAACCAAAAAGACAAGGAAGACTCATTTTTCTATGCCTTTTATATTTGGTAGATTTTGCTGCTATTAGCCGATCTTGCTATTTGTTAGTTCTTGGTTAGATTTCAGCTTTTCGTCTTGTTTTTCTCTTGTTTGGTGCTTTGTCCTATACTCTGCCAAAGAATTAAAATTAAAAAATCTAATTTATCCCCTCTAGCTTTAGATCGTGTGCACTTTTATATAAAATTTTCAAAAACATCAACAAAATTTCTAAACTTTCTTACATGTTCACTTTTGTCTTTTGATTTGATTTTTTTGGCAAACTCTAATGGAAATTATCATATTAAAATTAGATTTTTCAAGTTTCATAATTAAAGTGCACATAACCCTAATTTGGAGGGGATAAATTCAAATTTTATCATAAAAAAAATTGGTAAAAAATGGTTGGTTTAAGCATGTCAATTACTACTTGAGTGAAAATCAAACAAAATTATCAAAAACAGAAAGTTATTAAATATCATGTTACATGTTTTCAAAGTTTAGAGATTGTATACCTAAAATTATGGCTACCATAGCTAGTAACAACTTATCTTAAATTTGAACTACAAATCATGTCTTACCTTAAGAGCCTGTTTGGTGAGCAAGATATCATAAGGACATATAAGATAAGAGAGATGGATAAAAGTATGATAAGATATGGGCTTGATAAGCCCTTCAATGGATAGGATAAAATAATGGATTATGATAAGAGGACTAGATAAAAATAGGAAATTATAAGATTCTAATAAAGTCATATTATATCTCAGATTTGATGTGCACATGTTTTCCAATATTGTACTTAAAGGGAACTAATCAACTAGACAGTGTCAAGATACGATATAAAAAAACTAAAATATTTATTATATCATAATTTTATAGAAATTTTTTAAAATTAATTTTTAAACTTCTTTTTTTCCTTTTGACTCATTTATATATTATTTCCTATTTTAATTTTTTTCAAAAAATATAAAAGGCATAATATTAAATAAATAAAAAATTCCAAAAATAAAAAAAAGTATATCTTTACCAAATAAACTTTTAAAACAAGTTTTAAACTTATTGTCAATTTTTATGTATGTAATAATATTTGGATAAAGTTAGAAATTTGTTGTTTGGTGAAAGTTAATGAAAGTTTGGGTAACTCCAAAAAAAAAGTTAATGAAATTTTTCTTGGAATTAATTTTTAAATTAATTATTCTTATGAATAAGAAGTTTGATTTGAAAAGATGTGTCATTTCGTCGTCGAACGAATATGTTGCTTCATCCTTGAAAGGGTATCTTTTCAATCGTGACCTACATTTTTTTAAAATAAATATATAATCACAATTTTTATACAAGTTTGTCTCTATTAATTTTTGGTAAGTTCTTTGCATTTGCATTCTATTACTCTAGTGCGATTGGTTAGACATAGGTTGAGTTCGATGAGACTATTCAATGTGAAAGTGCCGCCACAAGAATAGAGATAATCCATTATATCCTAGGAGACATTTGTCATGAATCTTAGGCACTATAGAGAGGGCAAAATTGTCTTAAGATTGTTATCCATATGATGTTAAAATTTATGGAGAGGATAATATGTTTAAGAGAGTCTTTTCCAATTGCATTTGCATTTGCATTTCTACTCTAGTGCGATTGGATAGGCATAGGTTGAGTTCGATGAGCTATTCAATCTGGAAGTGCCACTATAAGAATAGAGGTAATATGTTCTATCCTGGAAGATAATTATCCATGAATTTTAGGCATCATAGGGAGGACAACATTGTCTTAAGGACACATTGTCTAATATTGAATTTTTCCTTGATGCATTCATATATTTTCGTACGGTACACTTTAACTGTGCGTTATTGTATGTTTCAATTTTTTGTGTGTATTTCATGAAACTGAGTGTATTTGTTGTAATGATTTTTCTAACACAGATTATCCCCTCTCAATGATTTGAACTAGAGGTGAAAAAAGGGGCGTCCCAGCCCGACCCACCCTCAACCCGTCAAAAAACTGGGCTGGGCGGGTTGACCCACAATTGGATGATGGATTGAAAAATTGAACCCATCCCGTTTTAAGGTGGGTTGGCTCGTATATCACCAAAAAATTGTTGTTTCAACCTGTCAAAATAAATGATTATAAGTTTTTTATTAAAAATTGTACAAATAAAAAAAAAAACACGTCTATACTAATTACAGAACAACTCTTTCAACGGACACAATAAGTAACATTAATTCTAAAATGAACCCTTCAATAACTATTTATGTTTTTATTTTGATTAAACTATCAATGCTATCCATTAATGATTTTTAATGTTAAAATATTCAACTTAAGTATAACGTTTTTTTATCTCAGAAGTTACGAGTCCAGCATTTTTTCAATGTTGTTTGAGTAGGTACTTCAAAGATCTCACAATATTTACGTTAACGAGATATACGTAACTGTAGTAATGTTAACAAATAATCATGAAAACACACTTTATTGTAAGCTTTTACACTGTATACTATATCAGAGCAAAATATATTCCTTCTCACACCATCTGCACCCAGCTAATAAACAAAGACCATGAATATGAAAAGGAGCAAAGTCTATACGAAGGCTGTTTTGTAGTTTCAAAATAAAAATTAATGATAACATAATATATTTTTTGTAATTTTAAATTCAAAAAAAATAATAATAACCCGCGGGTTAACCCACCCCGCCCCTCCTATACCTGTTTTAACTTGTTACTTGACGGGGCAGGTTGACGGGTTAAGGTATGTAACCCGCCTCGCCCCGTTTTGGCGGGTTGACGGTTTGTCCGTTCGGGTTCAACC